AGTTTTTTAGCAATTGCCAAATCTGTATCGGGATAACAAGTTAGAAGTCCACGCTTTCTTCCACGATAGTTTATCCCTCGAGTGCAGATGGAAGAGACCAAATACTCACTTAACTGCAAAGAGTTCAGTTTGATCATGTTATAGAAGGTAATGGATGTGTGCATGAATGTATCTGCGTTTGGCACACGGACTGGACGGGACTAAACAGGATTGGTGGGGTAAGAGTGAGGTAAACGGAGATAATTTGTGGAAGGTTTTCGGGTTTTAATTTGACAAGGGTGGTTTAGTAATTTACCAAACCTGTCCCATCTCCATTGTTCTTGTTCCACCTATTTTGATGTGACAGAAAAAAGGCGTTTGTCTCACTCAGTCCTACCCGGTCTCAGTCTAGTTCTTGGGAAATTGTCCAAACTAGCCGATCTGACCCCCCAACCTTTTCAATTTATTGATTGAAATAGCCGAGATTACGCAAGTGGCACTTACGCAACTTGTGTAACCCACTTTTTTTTAATATGCTATTCAGGAAAAGTAAACATTTCACAAGTTGCATAAGTGCTACTTGCATGGAACATGGGACAATTTTCCCCTAGTTTTCGGTTTTTCCCACCAAACATGGGATAAAACCTTTTTGTTTTGTAATGTCCCCTGTACCAAACAAACCCTTAAAGAGCATATTATCACTGTGACGAGTGTTTAACATACATCTGAAGTTGATGAACCACTGTCGGAGGATCCATTAGGGGTCTTAAGAATGCCCCTTTTAACGTCACCATAGGTCAGAATCCCTTCCAAGTGATCTTCACGATCTACAACCAGCACACAACTTTGTTGGCCATCGTTCATGCTTTTTACAGCCTCATTAACAGTTGATGATAATAGGACTTTCGGATAGCTGTTTGACATAGCCTGAGAAACCTAATTACAGAGAGTTACATTAAACGCCAGTCATTATCGATAAATATGTGATGAGAATTCCATAACACTGGAACTATATGGTGCATTTGGTATCCAGACAGCTGGACAGATCTGGACAGGACAGCAGCACAGTCAGTTCAACGTTTGGTTAGACAGAATTGGATATGACAAAACAGATAAAATGACCAATCTACCCCTATTGAGTTGTTTATATCTTTTGATTAATTTATATAAAATGACATCAAAATATATCATTAGAAAGTTTTTTTTCAAGACGATAAAATGACATCAAAATAAAAAGTTTATGTAATTTCCAATTTTTATCTTATACCTTTTCTATATTTTTTTTTATTAAACCATTTATAAATTACATAAATCAAGCAAAATATAAAGACCGTATAAAAATGATATTTAAGGACAATAAAGTGAAAGTTTAAAGAGCATAAAATACAATAAATAAAATTTAAAACATGAAAAAAATGCAAAGAGGGAGGCGTATTTGATGTTTTAAATGAGAATTAAGTTTTCTTTTGAGGTTATATTGGTAAAGTATTGGTCTATTCTACCTTCTTCCATGGGGAGGGGGTGGGGGTGGAACACACCTGTTCCACTTTGTTCCTGTTTGTTCCACATAAAAGTACGATCGTTGTTCTGTTCTGTCATGTCCAGTGTCCAAAACGCACCCTATATAATCAAAACTTTTAAGTACCTTCAAATCCTCGAGAATAATATCCTCATCAATTGCTTCATGGCTATCACCAGGTCCCATTATGCAAAGTT